AATATTTTTTATAAAAAAAGAAAAAAACTTGTTCTATGAATTGTAAGCATCTATTGTTTATGTAAATATTAATAGATGCCTGACATATACTAATTTTAATTATATGTACATATTGACTTGTGTAAATACTGATGAATGTATAAAACACCAATAAATTATCTATCTATCTATTCATTTGTGTATGTGAAAAATACACACATATATTGAATTTCTTGATACTAGAACCAAAACAGAGACAAGGACGATGATGTCTAAATCGGCTCAAACAACAGTTCAACAACCATGGTGAATAAAAAATATTATACCTGAATGGTAACTTGGGGTGGAAGGTGTAGAAGGCAGAGCTTGCCTACTAGATTCTTGAGTAAGATCCTTGAGTAATTCCTCTTTTTCGGTTTTTCTTGCAAAACAGAAATCTGTCACTTTATTCTGGAACGTCACCAACATCTGCAACCACACGAATATTAGAATAAATACAATAAATTCAATTTGGAGATTCGAAAAATTTATGAATAATAATATACCTGCGTCAAATCGTTGTAGAACTTAGTTCCTTCCTTCAAGTTATTCTGCAAATCCCTGAATGCGTCATGAGCTGACGCGAGAGAACACATCATGGTATCTCTTCCATCTGCAGAAGATCCCCTTTCAGAGATGAACTGAGCATTAGCTGACTATAAAACAAATCACAGTTATATCAATAATTAATTTTAAAAAGCAATATTATAAAGTTGATCCCTTACTTGGATTTTCTCAATCAACGGGGCTTGCTTCTGGATGCTCTCTGTCACTTGTCTTTGAAGATCGCCATACGACTTTCCCAGATTTTCAAATGAAATTGCGGGCTCGTTAATAGCACCATCTTTAGCTAGAGCATTAAGGAAAGTGTCCTTCATGTCAGTTGTAGCACTTTTCAGCTCTGACTCGATGGTTTCTCTTTCGGCTTTGATTGTTTCAACCTGATAAAATCAACATAAAGAGGGATATTTAGCTTCATTTTATATTTACCATTCTGTCGGGTGACTTATTCATTTTTGAGGTTTTTTTTTCACAAAACCAATAATTTTTACATTTTACTAAATGCAAGAGGTCAAGACTATGGTTTGATAAGGAAACAGCATATTGAATCAAAGAGTGTAATAACTATTTTTTTAAAAAGAAATAAAATTCCAATTCAATGTATTATGTTGAAAAATACAGTTATTTAAACAAACTAGTTGAAATCTCTATTGAATAGTGTCAAATTTTTCACCTTTACTCCTTATTTTTTAAGTTGGTCACATTTATTAAATATTTACTTTCAAGTTAGTATGATGTTGATAACTAGTTTTAAAATTCATGTATATATAAACAAAATCATGTTATGTTTATTCTGCTACATACCCATGAAACTACATTTTTATATAAAAAATCTTACTTACATAAAAATATATTTGGTTTTTGTGAAAATCTACATAACATCTGAAGTAGATGATAATTTAGTTTTTTATCAAGAGGGTTGAGTTACTAAGTGCAAAAAAGTATAGAACGAAACTGCAGTAACGTTAGTTACAAATAAAAGTGGTGAAAAACATAGAAAGTTTCTTTTCTCTTTTCTTCAATATGATTTCCTACCACGTAGTAACGGCTACATCCATCAATTTAATATCAGAAGTATAAGTCCTTAACATCAACAAGAATAATAATGCCTAAAGCAAGATTTTTAACCTTCTTTCCACTGAATTCTCTTTTCCATTTTTAGAAAGAAAATAAATGCCCTTTACAATATTAACATAACTATTAGAAAATATACTATTAGTTCCAAAAGTTCAATTTTAGAGGTTAATATGTGTATACTATTTATATATTGATAATACTTTCATCAGTACCAATTCCTAGAATGTTACATTGTCGCAGCCAATTGAAACAGGTAGCAAATACTTTTGCTACTCCTAAAAATAGTATGATTTGTTTACTTTTACTTCTAGTCAGTGAATTCATGGGATCTTACAGGTAAATATACTAGGCTTAGTATGAACCAACTCACCTCCTCCATCAATTGCCTCAGAGTCTGTACGGCAGAAGAATTTCCTACACTTCCAGAATTACCACTGGGCAGTGCACTTTCAATAGCTCCTGGTCCGTTGCTAAGCAATTCCATACCACGTTTGTGAGAATCGAACTTGTCACGTACAACTTTGTCTGCCTGAACGGCATTGTTAATGATCTGCCTGTACTTGGCCGAATTAGATCTGAATACTTCTGTCAGTTTTTCAGAAGGAGTTCTGGTCCATTTTTCTTTGAATTGCTGTCTCAGTGTATCGTCAGATGATTTTTCTTCAGACAGCATCCTATCAGTCTAAAATGAAAGAAAGATTTTGAGAATTTAAAAAAATATCAATTAGCCATAGTATCCAATAAGAGAAAGAATTGGGAAGAGATAAGGGGTAAAATTATCAACATGAAAAAGAACAGTAGAATGTTAACAAAAAATATTTAAACAATATATGTATGAAATATAGAAGTTCTTAACAGAATATACATTTTTTAGATTTCGACAAAGTTTGAGTTTTAACAACATTGATATGTCTAATGCATTTATCAGTTTATATAAATTAATGGTTGGTTTCTTATAATCTATTTTGCAAATACATTTTATAACTTTATAATGCAGAATTTTCAGTGATTTAAGAACATTTGATGCTGCAAATATGGCAGTTTCGAATGAACCAAAGAAAAACAAAAACCTTTTAAATGGCTTATTCTTTCGCATATACTTTTTATATATTTGAATTATGATGAATTTTCATCAATGCAAATTTTTTGGCACAATTTCTGATACTTGAAGTTTAAAATTAATTTGGCTATCAAATTTAACTTCCAGATCACGAATAAATATTTCTCTTTTAGCTATATTATTCAATGTATATTCAAAGAATATTGGACTTCTAATTTTAGCGAACATAATGATTTGACACTTATCAATGTCTATATCTAACTAATTATTTCTACACCACATGGAAAAAGCTTCGAGATCTTTTTGAACTAATTCAGCATCTTCTCGGCAAGTAATTGCTAGATAAAGTTTGAGATCATCCGCAAACATAAGAAATTCTGAATATTTGAAAACAAAGTCTATGTCCGATACAAACAAATTGAACTGCAGTGGGCCCACATGGGATCCCTGTGGTACCCCTGATGGAACCTAAATGGGCGTAGATGTTGTATCTCCGTGAGTTAGGAAGAATTCAAAAAAAATAGTCTTAAGAATAGGAAAGTTTGCAATGAAGACCAAGACAAATAAAATCATTTGAAACAAGTGATATGCACCATAAATTCTCACCTCATCCAATATATCCCGATTCCTCTTCAGCAAATCGGGTAACTCGTTAATCATTCTTTCCAACTCAGATATACCTCCCAACGAAATTACAGTATTTGATTTCTCCAGAATAGAAGGCGGTACTTCATTCCCACCTCCCGTTATTTCAATGGCTGCCGGAAGGTTTAAGCTGGCCAGTAAACCGTTCAACAACTGAGTAGATTCTCTCAGCTTAGTTATTTCAGTATTTACAATTTCGGTTTTCCTCACATCATACGAAGCCAATGCTTGGTGGACAGCAACAGGAACCAATTCGCTGAATAGGTCTGTAAGTTTTTATTAATTTTTGTTTTATTCATTGATAGTTACATGTTCTTACCCTTGAAATTTTGGCTCATAGGATGAGCAACTTGTAACACTTTTGCAGGTTGAGCTTTTCCAATGGGTGCTACCGCCTTGATATCAGGTATCCTTTCATGATAAATGAAATCATTATCTTTTTTTGCTTCTGCCAAATTCCTTTCAACTTTAGTGACAAGATCTCCAAATAGAGTCTTTCCACATCGAGACTGGGAGGCTTTAAACATTTCACTGGATCGCTACAGCATAATTTCCATTTGATATAAAAATACACTTCATTGTGGATCAAAGTAAAGAACACAACAAATCAATATTTATGTTTATCAGTAATTGTTGGATGATTTTTATTTTGAATTTTACCTGTAACCGGGCTATTTCCTCTCCAACACTTTTATTTGCTTTGCACACGAGGCTTTGGTACAATTCTGCAACAGCCCCTAAAGCGGCTTGTTTGCCAGCAATCTGGAAAATTTAAAATTGAGTAAATGGTATCACAAACTTGAGCCTAAAATTCTAAATAAAAAAATTACTACTTAAACAATCTTCAATATCCTTTACCATAGGTATCCAGTCCTTGTCCCAAATGTGTTTCAAGTTTTCCCTTTGAAAAGTTTTCAGACATTCTGCATACAAATCTTCACAAGTGGATGCTAACTTTGCCACAATGGCATCTTTCATGTTATCTGTAAACAATTTTATTTACTGTATTTTATATCAATTGTAGTCTTTTGATAGTCAAAACTCAATCATTTTTAGTTGAAAATTTTCAAGATTTTTATATGGATGCATGAATTATTTACCCATTACTTTGTGTGTAACTTGTAGTAAAACTATACAATGGTAGAATTTGTATTCTTTTGTTTGAAAGGTTTGATTGACTGATTTATTTCCCAAAATATGATACAGGAGAGAAATCAACAAACTTTAACTTAAAAAGTGAAGGTAAATGAACAAATCAATACTGGGATAAAGAAAACACAAAACATGAATATTTGAATTGGTAGCTTTCACCAGTATTTAAAAAAAATTAAAATCAAAATACTGCAACAAAAGCAAAGTATTACTAGTAATCAGGTATGTGAAAGTAACAATTATATTTCTTAAAATTGGAAGAGGTATATTTTTAAGAGAGATTAAGTTTTGGGAAAGAAAAGTTTTAGCTTTCTAATCTTCCATCTTTATACAATGCATATAAATCTTCACATGTGGATGCTAACTTTGCCATAATAGGATCTTTCATCTGTCTATTCTTTGGAAGATTCCATATATAAAGATGGAAATGTAGAAAGTCAAAACCCTTCTTTTTCATTAATTTCGCATATATGAAAGATATAGACTTCAACATAACCACCAAAGTTTTTCATAAAGAAAAGTATGAAAATTTGAAGAAAAAATATCAAAGTCACTGAAAATTAGAGAATACAAGTAATATCCAATAGTATGATCTAAAAAAGTGATTTAAGATTCAATAATTCCTTTTCACTAACCATCATTTTTAAACAGAGCAGACAATTGAATTTTATTTTATATTCAGAAAAAATGTTTGAATTTTTTTTAAATAGTACATATTAACAAAAACCTTCAGTTAGTATGTATTAAAAACAGATATTAAACATCTAAGAAATATTCATAGTTATCTACTGAGAACATTTGATGCTGCAAATATGGCAGTTTTGAATGAACCAAAGAAAAACAAAAACCTTTTAAATGGCTTATTCTTTCGCATATACTTTTTATATATTTGAATTATGATGAATTTTCATCAATGCAGAGCCCAAAATAATTTGTAATATGTTATACTAGATAATATTTAGTCAATATCTTAGAGCATATTAAATTTCATTTCTTCCAAATTATTTTCTGAGTCAAGGATGCATCATCAACAAAAATGATGAGTTTTTTTGAATATAAAAAGAAAATTACTGGTCAAAGTAAACATTTTTACTTACTAATTTCCTCCACATGAAGAAACTGCTTCTATCTCTCTCTTATGCAAAAATCATTTTGGAACCAATCAAGTACAGAATTTCTGGTAGCCACATTGTATATTTATTTATTTATTCAACGGCAAAGCCAATTTACAAAAACATATTCAATAAAGTGTGAAGAACTACAAAGTTTTTTTGATTGCTCATGTCTGATGTCTGCATTACAATTTACAATTTTACAAAACTTTTAGCGAAGTGTGAAATAAAAAATAATAATAAATTGTTATGTCTAGTGACTACATTATTAAAAGATGAAACAATTCTGGTACTTACAAGGAAAAAGAATCAACAAATCTGGTACTTACAAAGTAAATGGTAAGGTAAAGAAAAGCTTCGAAAACGCTATAGCCTTTTCAATTGATTTTTAAAGACCTGAAGTGATACATTAGACAGATCTAAGTTATTATGATATTGATTTCCCAGCTTCAAAGGAATCGAACTGTTCAAAGCTTAATTGGTATGGAAAAAATGTATATGAAAAATGAGGAAACTCAAGTTCATAGAAATTCTGCTATCTTCTAATGATTTTATATATATTTAACTTGGTTAAGAGTTGACTGAACTCATATTCATTTTGTTGAATACCAAAGTGAAAAGCACAATTCCTTAAGAATTTTTTTTTAACATGATCAATCAAATTGATATTTACATTATAGTATGGGTCCCATATAACTGAACAATATTCAAAAATGGATCTTATAAAAGCACAATATAAAATCTTTTTTGTTTTTTTTTGTTTTAATTAAAGAATCAGTAGAAATTCCCAACACAAAACCTAGCATTTTGAGATTTTTTGGCACAATTTCTGATACTTGAAGTTTAAAATTAATTTGGCTATCAAATTTAACTTCCAGATCACGAATAAATATTTCTCTTTTAGCTATATTATTCAATGTATATTCAAAGAATATTGGACTTCTAATTTTAGCGAACATAATGATTTGACACTTATCAATGTCTATATCTAACTAATTATTTCTACACCACATGGAAAAAGCTTCGAGATCTTTTTGAACTAATTCAGCATCTTCTCGGCAAGTAATTGCTAGATAAAGTTTGAGATCATCAGCAAACATAAGAAATTCTGAATATTTGAAAACAAACT